CTTTGCTTAAAAAACCAGGTGTCACATTGTGGCAGTTCAATATTTTATAGCAAATACAAGGAATGTGCAACAACACTGCAACTTTAAATCTTTGCCTCCCATGTCAGTCTCTCTCCTCTCATTGTAAAGCCAAAGGGAACAGCAATCAGAGTGGAGATGTTCAACCTGATAGAGGTCAGGACACCAGTGGATCAACGTACCAGAAACACGACCTTGTTTATTTTTTTCCCCAGTATTATTGTTTACAGGGTGCTTTGCTCATGTACCTTGTGGTTCTTAGCTAAAAGATGAAATTACAGCCCAGGATGAAGCGCTCAGGCACACATCCAATTTGTGTTTCCATCTCAGAAAACAAAAAGCTTCTGAGGCCCTCGGGCTGCCATTCAAACTTGGAGAGGCTGACATTTTTAACAGCATGAACCAGAGACTGGCAGAGGGAATGATCTAATGCATTTCTGACTTGTCAATCAAAGATCTCACCTCTGCTGTCTTGTAAACAGTTGGGGGCCACCTAACTACATTCATAACCAGGGGAGAGCCTGCCGCCAGCCGGCGGGTGCTGGAGCCACATGCTCTGGCTATTAGTCACCAAAATTATGATTCTGTTTCAGAGGCGTACCGTAAACAGCCCGCGGGCAGATTTCACACAGCCGCTGGGAGAACGCAAGGGGGGAATACAAAGCAGGCTTGGTCGAGGGTAGCCACGTCTCCACACTGATGGAGCCTACTGACTGGACACCCCATCTCTCCTCCAATTAGAGACAGAACTACGCACACCAGCAAACGTTTGGTCCAAAGCCGAACAATTTCTTTCAAATGCTTTTCTCACAAATGCATTTCTGAGCATGCACAGCTTGCCCATCCCGAGACTTTAGCTTTAGCCTCCTGTATAACCATAAATGATGTACTCCTACTCACTGTATTTCTCAGCAATAAAATGTCAACTTTTAAGGCAAAAATGCATGAACAGGCTGAAGGAAATCTACAGAGACAACTGTTTTTAACAATTTACTGACAACACTTCTTTAACAAATATTCCACTTCCTAACACAAAAATATAAACATTAGAAAAAAACAGATGTAAAAATCATTTGAGAAATTAGTTCATCTCTTCCTCATGGGTGCAACAGGCTTCCATCACTACAAACTGTTTACATCTTTCATACTCCCACCTTTCTCCAAAAGTGACCTCAGTCCAAAGAAAGAAGCGGTGTACATCATGTCCATGCTGCACAACCTCAAGCGCGCTCCTGTTTACTTCAAGTTGCCCAGCAGACTACACCCACGCTTTCCTCAACCAGGACAGAGCTTTCTGCCAAGACCAAGGAAGACCTTGCTTCTGCAAAACCAAGCAGAAGGTAGTTCCCTTCATCTGACAAACCCTGATGTGCAGTTCTTTATGATCAAGACCTTCACTTCAGGTAAAGCAAAATGTGAATTTCTGGCATTCCAGAGAGACACTTCTGTATTCAACAAGATGCTGCTACCTCTGTCACAGAAGTTAATCCTCCTCTTTGACTACTAGAGCCTGTTACAGAAATAGTTTCAGATCTGGCAAAATAAAGGTGACAAGACAACTCTTCGCTTTTTCTTTCCAGACAAAGAAGTAAAAGTATGACTCTTGTCCCAAAGAGTTTACAATCTAAACTGGAGCTGATCGCTTTTTCACTGGTGCCTAGGCTCCAGACAAAGAAGTAAAAATATGACTCTTGTCCCAAAGAGTTTACAATCTAAACTGGAGCTGATATTTGTGAGGGGTGTCAATTAGGTAAAAAGGAAGAGCTGGACTGTTCTCTGTGATTACCCTGATACCTAACCTTTGGCAAGACTTTTAAATTGCTCCTTAAGTCTCCTCATTTATACAACAGCTTACAGAAATAAATTCAAGGAAATACTATGGTCTTCTGCAAACCTGGAAGGATTAATACAATCATTTCCTGGGCATACTTGATGGGTGTAATTGTAAATCAGAATTTTCAGAGAACTGTGACTATTAAAAGCAACATAAACTGAGCCTTGTAAGCACGCATGGAAAATATTTTAAAAGGGAAAGTAATTATCTTCAAATGAAAAATGTCACGAAAACAGACACCTGTTGGCACATCTGGAAACTTCCAAAGCATGGATTTCTAGGAAAAAGAATATACTCCGCATAAGTTTGGTTTTTTTAATTAAGAGAATCTACATGCAACCTAGTTTTCAGTTGCTTTGCAGAATAACGGTACAGTAAAATTTGGCATTCAAGACACTGAAAATGGAAGGGATGGCCTTTTTCTCTTGTTAATATCCTCTTTGACTCCTTCCCACAGCACCTTATAGGAGTTCATGTTCCAATTTGCTGCCATCTTCCACCATGATCTCTATGAAATTCAGTTACACAATAGACTATCAGTTGCAAAGCCCTTTGAGGTAAAAGATGTTAAAAAGAACAGTTTCTAGCTCCTTATTCCCCCATTCCTGAGTTTAGCCTTAAAACCTTTCCCACTGTGGGAGGATTGCCAAACAGAGCTGAGGAACCAGAAGATCCTGTTTTCACACAAGTGTCTCCAATAATAAAAACACACAAAGAAGAAAAATGAAGTTATCTGACATATTAACAGAATCACCTCTAAATCGACTATCTGCCAATGTTTCCCATGAGGAGTCAGCAGGGCTTTAACTGAGCTATTCAAAGAGAGCCTCTTTCCACATTTCTGTCTGAGCATCTGAAGGTAAGCATGTAAATAACTAGACAAATTCAGCAGTGACTAAGTAGCCTTCCAGATGGCATCTTCTCTTTTGCCACAAGCAAAGAACATTGATACGCTTCTCCAATTACTTCAAGCTTGCTACAGAAAAAAGAAAATAACTTAATATGAGAAAATTTGCTGGGCTACAAGAAAGTCTTCAATACTTTCCTGAAGATTCGATACCAAAAAAAAAGCATTAAAGAACAGTGAAATATTGCAACATCACAGCTTCAAGCAGGCTCCAAACCGCTCCCATGTGGACTTCTGCACTGGAAAATGCAGAAGTCATGCCTCACAGAGGGGAGTTTTCTTCAAACCATGCAAGTTAATGGGGATCAAAGCCCATTGAAAAAAAAAGCTGCAGAAGCTGTTGGCAATTTAGTTTCTCTCTCAATTGGCACTAAATGTGTTCCTCAACACAGGAGTCAGAGTGCTGTGAAGAGTACCAGTATACCATTTTAGATGGCAAGTGGGGCAGACTTCCCCAATTCCCATAGTCACTAAATACACATGGAAATGTCTCTCAATCTGCACGAATGCAAATATCAAAGTCCTACTACTCTCCCATGAAGGCAGTACATGGTGAATGGTTGTGCAGCCGACTCATTTGACCCCAGATATCAATGCGCTGCATTAGCAGAAAAGTTATTGTTCATATCTATCATTAGCAAGAACATCTTGAGCGAAAAGAGGCTAATTTCCCTTCCCCTTTGTAATATATGCTTATTCTGAGTAATCAAAAATAATTCAAGTAGAAAGAAAGGAGTCCCAATTTGAGTTTATAAATTGCTTTCCATATACTGCTAAGGTTCTCTAAAACCTGAGCTTAAAGAGATCTGAGATTTATTCAACAGCAGAAAACCCAAAAATGAGGCCCATCCGATTTAGTCAAATTATGCAAATCAGGATTAGAAATAGGATTCTAAATTCTGCCTGATGTCTCCAGGGTCCTCTTAGACTAATAAAAAGTCGTCTTCCCCCTCCCCCACGGAAAGCTCCGCTAAAAGCTTGCTTCAGCAAAGGAGGCCTGGCAGGACACCTTCCAGAGTCCATCAGTGCTACTGCTGGGTCAGCAAAAAGAGTTGCAGCAAAATGATGCAAGACACTTAAGCCTCCCCTGAGACTGCGAGGATTATTTCCACAGTACTCTCCTAGCCCTGGGAGCAAGAAGGCAAATTCAAAACAATCTTTGCACGCTGTCCTTTAGAGGCAGGTAATGAACTTTCACCAAAATGATTGAAAATTTCAGAAAGATTCTAGCTTATTCGTTATGTCTGGTTTTGCAAGATGCTAGTAAATAACACTCTCTGCCACAGGTTAAGTCAGCAACAGCGTAATCCAGCAGCATAAACCTGAAAGTAAACATTCACAGTACCACAAGCTCCAACGAACATGCAGTCTACAGAGGCACTCCTAAGGTCCCTCAGTCACTGCAGTTCATGCAGAACATCTCAGAGACAGAGCATCCAACATGAACATAACATCTCTGTAGTTCAGCCTCTGCTGCTCTCCTGGTTATATCCACGTCATCGTAAAATGCTTGCAATGATCTTGAGTGCCTTGTCTAGGTTTCTAGATGCTCACCCAATAGCTGCCTCACTCTCTACCCACAGGAGAGTGGCTGCATTTTGTAAGATTCACTGGTCACCCAAAGCGTCTGAACAAACCTGTTTGGCAGAAAGCTGTCTCATGACAGAGAAAAGCTTGAATCTAACAAATTCAGAGACCAAAGAAAAAACAGGTTTCCTTTATTTGCCTTCTGATTGACAGCTTACTTGTACCATAATTTTCTGTAGTCAAAATGTCCAGACTACTGCTAACAAACCTGAAGTAAACAAATGCTGGCATCAATTATCACTATGGCAATGAACCCACCCCCTCAGTCCTCTAAATGGCATACAGAAAATTTAGATAGGAGGGGAATCACTGCATGAATAGCCAGATTGGAGACTGTGTGATGGATACTGTTTGCCAAATATAATTAAGTGGTATATTTTTGACACAATTGAAAGCCAATGGAAAAGATGATGGTACCAAGCCAATTTAGACAAAATAATTATATTACATTGAGGTAATGGAAATGCCCCAGTACTGAGCTGCCCTGAATCTACACAAGATGTGTTTAAATACCAGAGGAGATCTGAATGACATAGGAGAGGCATACAGTATGAGGCAGAATAAATGGAGGTAAAGCAAGCAAGGAAGTAAGGAAGGAGATGCACACGTACACAGATGGAGAGAAAAGGAGGAGTGGGGAGAGACAGAAAGTACCTGGAAAGCTGGGAGTGCGCCAGTCCCTGGGTTATACAGGCATCGCAGCGAGGGCATGCTGTCCGCCAGGCTGGAGCAGCCCAGCCACAGAGATCTGGGCATAGAGCACTGCAGAGAAAGGACAACTATGAGATGGGACTGTATGAGACAGGATGGCACAGATTACAGGAACTTTCAAGGCTTAGCCAAATGGCATTAACACAACTGCACCTGGCCTTAAAGACCGAGACATCTTTAAGAGAACACAAACTGCTGATGAGTCTTTTCCTTGGGAGAAGCTTTACAGATGTCATAGTAGCAAGAAAAAGGCACTGCGGATCAAGAAAGTAAATTTTTGATCAATTTTCTACACCAATGTGTGAGTTTTTCCAGTAACAAAAGTTTCCTTCCAATTAATCAGACCTCTTCTCCATGCACAGCCACGCTCCAGGCACAACACAAAGCAAGCAATTTTGCAAGGGAAGCAGAAAACGAAATAACAACTTTAAGTGTAATACTGGCAGAGAAAGAAAAGGTTTTTGTATGTCTGTTTTTTGTCTGTAAAGGGGATAAAAGGAAAAACCTGCAATCCAAGGTGAATAGGAACTTGGTGACACTTTATAAGAGTTTCATGTTTCTGCTTGCCTTGTTATTCGTTAAATAAAATACAATTATTGTAATAGACTGATTCTGTTCATCCAAACACAAATACAAAAAAGGAGCCAAAGCAGCCAATCAAGGAAAATACTAGCCATTTTGATAGTTAAAGCCATTACCCCCTGAAATATAGAGTTGCTTGTTCATCTTACACCACTACTATTAAATTTGGGGATACATTATGGTAGCAATTGCTTTTACCAGCCACGGAGTTTTTGATGCCATAAGCACTGCTGCATTTGTCTAATTACTGGCAAGGCAAGAAAAAACAAATATATTTTAAATTGGCAGATAGCTACGAAAACTGTAGGATGTGATAGATTAGATGCTAGAGATTTCAAACCCTCACGCTCTTCTTTTTTGCAATCCTCTCCCCCTCCTGCTTTTTTTTTTTTTTTTAAAGGGGGGATGGGAGGAAATCTGAGTGGAAAGGGCAGCTGGAATGGGTATGAAATGACAGCTGCCTTTTGAGCCACCGTTTCTTGCTGCTCTTAAGAGGGCTAGAAAACCTTGCACAATCTTGCACTAAATTAGTATGTAGGAGCAACGTAACCCATCCTTGAATGAGCAGAAAGGTGATCACCAACATCCATAATCTGGTACTGTGCAGACAGCCAAAGAGAGATTAACCCTATCTATCACCACGTTCTTTGCTGTACTTTGTTGCAATTTACACTGCTGTTCTAGAAATAGTATTAGAAGACTGCTGGGGAACATAACCTATACAAATGTGCTTATTAGAAGTTTATGATACCTTAAAATAAATTTCTCACCTCATTTTCATTTTTAAAAAAACTCTTCACTTTACAAAGATACTGAAACTCGAGAACTTGAGTACTTCATAATACTACACATCACATAAATTTGTAGATAATGCCCGTTCTGATGACTAAAAAATTACAGCCATAGTATTATAACAAGCAACAAAAATCTGAGCCATACTTCCTTGTCTGCCATCCTAACCCTCCCAGAAAGCAAACACTCCCACAAAAACCTTCCAAATGCCACCAATCTTTTCTTTGTAATGTAACATGTCTCACTTCAGCCATTAAAAGCTGTTGTAACAATCAGCCTTAAAAATATACAAATATATGTATATATGAAGTAGACATCTATGGTTTTCAAGCATTTCACTAATAATACATTTACTTAAATCAAAGTTGTTTATCACTCTGCAAGAACATCACAGTAACAAGGGAGATTAACTACAACATAGTACCTCTGATGATGCAGAGCAAATTCACTAGGTAAGCAACAGCTGTTTACCATTACCCATCCTAGGATTCATAACATAATACAAAGTAAATATGGGGCGATTTTTTTTTTTTTTTTTTTTTTTTTTTTTTTGTTTCTTGCATACAGACTTATCAAAGTCTTGCCCCAACCATTTATTCCCTCTTCTCAGGCTTTCCCATCCTTTGTGCTGGCTCAAGTTTTCATGCTGTGATAATGAACTCAAAGAACTGATTGCTATTAAAATTAGATTGTCAAGATAAAAGAGGTTACTTTAAATATTTGTACCGAAGTGTGGAAAGACACAGAGGCAGGAAAAATGAGGACCACTCTGTCAGTGGAAAGGCAACCTTATGTTGCCTCAAAGTTTATGTGAGATTATGGCTCAAGTCAGAGTCACTACAAGCTGCAGGTATGGCACTCTATTGTGCCAGGGCACTTAGAAGGTATTGAAATGTCTTCCTCTAAAAATGCCACAATAACAAAGGAAAACATTGGAGGTCTATTCTGCAGAACCCCCTGCACCTACAGAGGATATCATTACTCATCCATGCACTCTTGCTGCTTAGTATTATTCCAGAATTAGGAACTATGCAGTAAAACATTACCAACACCTTAGATGACTTCTGAATCTGCTCCAGTATATAACAAAATTTATATTACTGACACAGTTCTGTTACCTATCTTACAAAAATAAGTGTGAAGTTGCACACAGCGTGGGAGAAAATGTCATTCCTGTACTTGTCTTTTACCTATTGAAGGAAGCAGAGACGCTAAATTACTGTTGGTGACTGAAAGAGGCTTACTCACAAGCATGAACAAAAGGCCCCAGGTGCTTCGATAGAAACAGCTTGTGTGTAAATCAGATGAGTGACCCAACAGAACAACTTCATTTACAGCCTGATCTCTGAAAAATCTCAACAGCCTCTATCCCCATCCACTGAGCAAGCCACGTGTCAAACACTCACTTTTGTACTGTCAGCTCCACAAACAAGGGACTGGCCTCAACGTTCACTACTTGAAAGCTGACTGACAAAATCCTCTCCTGAACTCAAGTCAATCTACACTGGTTCTTCAAAACAAAGATACAGAGGCACAGCATTTGGACTACAGCCAAATGGGGATGCTGATATTGCTTGCTAAGTACTGGGCCAGGATGCAGCAGTCTCTCTACCTTCCTGATTCCCAATTGCATTAATACTTCGGATGTCTGCACAACTTTTGGACCCAGAGACGCGAAGCTTTTCATTTATAAAAGCTAAGCACATTTAATACACATTGAGTGGCATAAGATTGGGAATTATTTGACAAAAAACACAATTTGTTTTTCCAACTGATTTTTAAGACCCATTCCCTGAACTCTGAAATATATTTTCCCACTAAAGAAATACAGGGAATACAGTTTCAAACAAGACCAGCATCCTCCTGACAGAGGCTGGTACCAGCTGCTCTACTGGTGATTAAAATGGGCTTGTCTTATTTTGAATTAAAATAGGCTAGAAGCACTCACAGTCACTGGCTGAGCTGAGTGGGCAGTAACCATGAGCTGAAGGGAAGCTGTATTTTAACCTATTCAATTGTTCTTCTAACTATATTGCAAGAACATTTTTGACTACATCAGATGTTTTGCCTCTAATAGCCTACCCTCTCTTCCAATTACTTGATGTCCTAAAGATAAATCTCAATATGCACTCACTGGCTAAATTTTTGCCAGTGCTAAAAATTGGTTATTTACTTTATTTGCTATTGCATTACAAGATTATACATTACCATTTCAGACTGGGTTTTTTTTATCAAATTTGTTCTCTTCTAGTCCTTCAGCAAATACAATATACTAGGGGTAACTAACACAGTTTTAGTAAATTGTGTTACAGGTCACAAATATATCACCTTGTCCTGTAAAACTAAGTGGCTCTACATGGGGAAAAAACAAAAGTTCTTGAACTGCTACAATTTACAACTATAGTGCACAGGTGTGAAAACACAAACTCACTGTACTGTATTCACTGTAAAACAAGAACAACAAAAAAATCAAACAATAGTTTAAGGATATTTTCTTTATAAACACTTCGGAGAAATTAATTAGACAGTAGTACAGAATGACTGTCCTTAATTGTGGTGCGTTTTAACATAATAAAGTGTAATAACTTATTATCCCTGTCTGAACCCTGCACTCGACCTTATGATAACCTGCGTGCCTAAAACGCCTTTGATTTATAGGCAACCTAACATATTTTTGTACATCTGCACAAGTTAGTGGCAAAGCCAAAAAGGAAAACCAATTTTTTTCCAAGGGCTGGTTTTTGGACAACTGTACATAATACTGATTTCAGTTGCTAGCCACATCTATTTCAATCCTTTCCTAGTTCAGAATTATTTCCCTTCTAGTACAGTGTCCAGTGCTTTATGCAGTTGAACTCTAAAGATAAAGCAATAACAATTTCTACTTCTCCTGGGAGATGGGAATTAAGATCCTCTTCACCCAGTATTTTCATTAAGGAGCATAAATAGAATATGACACACGTTGACAAGCACTGAAGAGTTTAAAAACTGAGAGAAATGGGGCTTTTTCTGGTTGGTCCAGCTGATCATAGGCCAGAGAAGCCAGGGAACTGGATAAGGTTGTACAAAGAAAAACAGAAACACAAGTTGTAACTATTACAAAAACCAGGACAAGAGGGGAAAAGAAGTGCTAGAAATTCTACCACCCAAACTGGGGCAGATAAAACATAAGGGATGCTCTGAAGAGTATTAAAACTATATACAACAGACCTGAGCTTGATATGAGGAGACAGATCCTTCCCCACCTCTTTTTTTCATCACTTTAGAAAGCGAATATGGGATGGCTGGCGAGTACAATTCTCCCCGAAAGTCTCTTTTGCAGTACTGTTCCCTGCATGCTCTCTAAAATCAAATTGTCAGGAAATGTGCCTTAAGAATTTTGATCCTTTACGATGCTTTATCAAACACATGCTCAGATGTTAATAGGATTCCTAATATTCACAATTATTTTTATAGTATAACACAACAAATGGGAGAACAAACCCCAATACTTTTCAGTCCCACTCAGTTCCTCTTAAACTTTTTTTGGCCACATATTTAACTAAGCCAATGCCAAAAATATAACACACATCACTTACACATTGTGTCCAATGTGCACTATTCCTGTCATACAGAATGCAATACATTGTATAAAACATATCAGATAAGGCAGCTGCTATTTACATTACAAATGTTGG